CTCCAATTTTTAAAAAATAATATATGAGATTATATGGAAAAAAAATATGCAAAAAAATTCTCTTAATTATTTTTTCTTTTAAAATTAACGCAGATTTGTTGTTGATCCTTCGAAGGGGACGTTTATGGATGGTTTCTCTAAATTAATTTCATTTTGTAGATATTTTCAGAAACTAATTCTTTTTTAAATAATTTTGAAGACACATCTAGACAATAACCAGGTCACACCCATATACAATGCCAGAAACAGAGGCTACAATATGTCAAAGTACACCTTTTGCTTTGATGCTTATTCCAAAACAAAGTTAACAAACTACTAATATGACGAAAGGAACAAAACCAACTAAGGCGTACTAATAATTATTTATGTGATTTATTTGTGGAGAAAAAATGAAAAAAATTTTAAGCCCTCAACATTAGATGAGATTTCTTGTCATTATATGAAGGGGGACTACTACTACGGTATATAAAATTATAAATCAAGCATGCATTCTTGCCCTGCCCCCATACAAAAGTTCAGTCTTTAGCTCTGCTATCAAGAAGTTGCTGCAAAAAATGGCTGATGGCAAAATGACTCCGCCAGTTTTCTTTCCGGTCACGGCGATCCACCAGATACTCTGCCTTCCTAAAGCGGCAGAGTCCTCCTCACTGATTCCATTCTCTGCTGTTGCCCCTGCTCAGTTTCTCACCGTGTCTAGGCTCCATATCCACATCACCCTCGAAACCATTCAAGAAGAAGAGAACGAAGAGGAGAGTGGGAAGTTTTTGCCCCAGGACTCGTCGTCGGTGACACCATTCTTGTCCCCATGTTTCTTAGAAGTGTAGAAAGCACCCTTGTCATCTTACAGCCAGATGGCCTGACTTCCATGTAATTGTAATTAATTCTCTCGTATGTGTAACCCATGAAATGTCCTTTTATATGAATCAAGGTTTATGTTTAGTAGAAATTTTGTCCTCTTGGGCGAAAATTGGTAGGATTTGTTAAAGATAAGGATTATCAGAATGAAAAACAGATAGTTCTGAGGAATGATCTCACTCTCCATAAGGATTTAAAATCCTCCAAATACAACAAAACTCAAATTCTCTCAAAAATTAGATATAAAACTTTAACTTTGCATAAAAATTTATATTGATTGAAAAGCCACTACTCGTAGGAATGTATCCTCCAGAAAGACACCATTTCATAGAGGTACCTTTAGACTTCCAAAGATTATCCAATATTTACATATGTCTTTTCGGATTAAAATTTAATAAATTAAATTAAAAATCTGAAAATAAAAAATAAATATTTTGGAAGTCAAACCCCAAGGTGCCTCAAGTGACTATATATTTGTTGATAACAAATAAACCTTTATAAATTCCTTTAACTTTCTATATTTTCTTGACGTGGGACCTCAACATTTGCAAACTACTCAACAGGATTTCGCATATGTTAATCAAGTAATGGTTGTGCAATGTAATTATAATGTGTTTTATACATAGAGTTAATGTAGTTGAGGTGGTTTTTCAAAAGAATTCTTTAAGGACATGTCTAAAAGTTAATTTTTAAAGACCAATGCTAGGGGCACTCGCCTCCTGCACTCTCCGGCAAAACACTTTCTCTTTTATTGGGCCGCGTTATTTTGGTTTACGAGGTGGTTGCGCCTGAAAGCTTTAAAGAAGCGTACGTGGCCCAATGAAAGTGGAAGTGTCGGCCGGAGAGTGCAAAAAGTGAGTACCCTTAGCACTGCTCATTTTTAAATTAATATTTTTTAAAATCAACATTGAATTAAAAATTTTATTCATGTAAATTATATATATTAATTTTTATTTTAATTTAACACTTATAAATCTTCGATAAAAGAAAATAATATTTATTGACATATATTTAATAATGTTAAATTTTGTGTAATCAATGAGTTGGTTAGGTCTATTAAAACAATTTGAAAATTAAAATAAATAATCTATATAAATAAAACATTTAATTCAATGGTTAGCTTTTGAAAATATTAGTAAGAATAGGAATTTTTAAACAAGTCTTTTAAAAAAAATTTTATAAAACAACTTGCATAACACTTTTTCATATATATATATATGAGAAAATATTTATTTATACACAAGTTTTACATGCTATACTTACACAAGTTTTACATGTTATATTTATACAAAATTTCAACTATTTATCTTTTCACTTTTAATAATTGAGATATATTTACATTTATTAAAAATAATTATCTTTTTTATTTAAAAAATTATGACAAATCTTAACCATATATGTATATATGCTCAACACATTTGGTGGTGCCTTTTTAAAAAACTTAAAACCTCTTATTTAGAGTCAATAATCCCTCTCCACTCATTAAGGCTAAAACTTAAAGCCGTGACAATAAGCCCAGGACCTAGGGCTTGGGTTAGGGTCCTTAGGGAAGAGATCAATGATTGACTATATATATATATATGATGTAATGAAAAAGCTATCCTCACAACCTAATTACAATTTATCCTAAATTTTCGACATGGGAGACGAGTATAGCAATTCAATTTGTGGCCAAAATCCAACTTTCCACAAAAGTTCCTATTATCCTCTCATGCAAGTTATAGTATTTTCCACAGAGTTTCCCAAATGTAGCTCAGCCTCTTATGAATGGCCTCGAGGTTCAATACTCCCTCGTGCTATCTTCCTCAATTCTATATAACCTCTTTATCACCTGTATTTTCTCTTTGAAAGCTCTCTGGCTTTAGTTTGCTCCTAAATTAAGATCCCATTGTATTAACTCTTTGAGTAACCAAAAGAGAATGGATAAGTGAGATGCATTCAAAATTGGGGCGAAGTCAAACCGACCATCTTCATATTGCACCAGAAATTTTCTACTTCTCCTAAATTGGAGATCATTGTTGAACAAGGATGTCATGAAAATCTTCAAGTCTTGCCAAAGAGGATCTTTTTTCTTCTTCCAGCATTTCTTTCTTTGGGTCTCTTTTATCTTGTTGTATAGATAATATATAGACATGATTTTTTATGCAAAATTAAAATTAATTTGTTCTTTAATATAATATTTTTGGGGTGGATTAATCTTGCACCTCTAAAACATTTTTAGTTTTGTTGGTCTTTCTTTATGTTGTTTCAAATTTCATAGAACTTATTTCTCTTGCTATGAACCAAACAATTTCTTTTTTTGCAAAGTTGGTTCATTTTTATCTCCCAATTAAACTTATTTAAAAAAAATAATTGATACATTAAATGATAAATTATATAATAAGAGAAGATAACTCTTTTCTACCCTTAATACTTCCTCACCTATTTTAAAATTCAAACTCAAAATCTCTAATTTAGAAACTCAAAATTTTAACCACTTAAAACACCCCCTTTTAATCAACATGGAGATTGTGATGATTTAAATTTGAGATGCAAGAGTTCTGTTTTAGAAAGTTTTGAAAAACTTTCATTATAGTGAAAAGGCCATCACTGATTATGTAAATAATGAACTAAAAAAAGGGGCGAAGAAATAGATTTTGATCCTTGGTTTCTAACTTTCTATGCTAATTTTTTTTGAATTAGTTGTATGTTAGATCTAAAAAATTCCAAATCCTTCATTCTAATTTGGATTAACAAACTCCAACCTAAATGTAACAAAGATTTCATGTTATACTCCCAAGATTTATTTTTAGGCAAATCTATGCATAGCTTCTTTTCCGGTACCATTATTTAGGCTACATATATTACCAAACTCCTATTTTTACCTCTTCCTTTCCTTTATATATACCTTCCTTTTCCAAATCATTTTCTCCAACAATTCAACTCTCTTAACTTGCAACACAAGAAAAGATTCAACATTTTTTTTCTTCTTCTTCTTCATGTTGCAAAAATGATGAAGGATGTAAGATACATGCAGAATTGGGTTGAGGTGGCACCGGAACCTCTCATTTCTCATCAGAAAACCTCAACTTCTCCAAGTTTGGAGACAATAGTTGAGGAGGGTTATGATGGTGTACGTGTGCCGAAAAGGGTCTTCATTGTTCTTCCTGTGTTCCTTTCTTTGGTGTTTTATTTTTTGTTGTATAGACAAATTTCTTATTAATCAAAACCTGTGGATGGTTGAGGAATGAGGATTAATTGCCCATACTTGGGATATGTTAGGCTGAAGCCAAATTCATCACTTTGTATTCATCATCAGGGGATCTTCCAGTAATTAAAAGTCTGAGCTTTTATATTGGTGATTTCAATTTTAATTTCTAAGATGGATGAAGAGGAGTATGGGAAGAAAAAGACTATTTTTATTGTATAGTTCATTATAAGATATACAAAATAAAATAAAAATAAAAAAACATCTTGTATCTATACTGTAAATGTAAATTAAAGTTTATGGTTCAAGTTTAATTTTATTACATGTCCGCTGCTTTCCCCCTGTAATGGAGGCATATGAATGTGATTAGAATTTTATTGATTTTTTTCTTTTTTATAAATCTAATGGCCTATTATACAAATATTTATTGATGTGAATAATAAAATAAATTTGGTGGATCTGTTTGGTAAGAGGGGATTTGAAAAGGGGATTTGAAAGGACACATTGAGTTCAATCTTAATAGGAATAAACATACTAATGAAGTTTCAGATTTTCATTGACTAGCAATACTTATGTATCATGGGAATACTCTAGAATTCCTCATTACCAAATAAATTACAAATCCATTTCTCTACCATATTGATAACTGATTTCAGACTAGCTCTTGATGGAGCAGAAAATAGGAATTGCCTTCCTTTTTGGGGGGCACTACAATAGGAATTGCTTTGAACTACAAATTTTATCTTTGTCCTTTTTGCTTGTTAATTTGCCTACTTAAATCCAACCATAAAACAGAGCAGCCAGTAGAAAACAGAAGAATCAATTATCATGTAATCGGCCTACTGCCATTACCAATTTGCCAAAATTCCATAACATTGTGTTTTGTGAAAGACATGGTAGTTGTCATTGTTTCAAATAGGATCATATATAATTTGTTGTCAATGACCTAAATGGTTTAGTGATAATTTGCTGTCAATGACCTAAATGGTTTAGTGGTAATCTCTGCTTCAAGTAGAACAAGAGATTTTGGGTTCAACCATCAGCCATATAATTTTGTGGTATAGTTATGTACTCTTAGTTGCATGTCTAAAATTCAATTATTAATCTCTACATACCAAAAAAAAAAAAAAAACCATTAATTAACCAATATAGTAGTTACATTTATATGCCTCTTGCCTTGCAGCAATGAAGCCATTTTATAGTGAAAAGGTTGGGGCATAAAAGTTCTAGGTTCTAGTATTAGATTTGCATAAACTTTAAGTTATAATCCTCTAAAAAAGTTAATTATGTTTTTTTAGACTTGAACAAACCCCACTTTGATTTATGTTGATCAGAGAAAGGAACAGAGGATTGGATTCATTTTCATAAAAAGGAGGATCAAAATGGTGAATCTATCTAACAAAACTGGAACACTTCAAAGGAATTTAATTCAAATCGTTCAAAGACAATCCACCACTCCATCTTAATGCACCAATATTAACATTACAAGTTTCTACTCAAGGTTACAATGCCATTTCCTCAAACACTTGGGATGCTCCCCATACAACCAACAATGTCTCTCTCTCTCTCTCTCTCTCTATATATATATATGTATGTGTGTATAGATATTTTTCTTTTACAACTGTCTCGTGCAGAATATTAAGATTACTACTCATCATCATCAGGCTCGAGCCAAGTTTCTGCAAAACATGAAATAAAGAAGCATAGAAAGGACTATAGGAAGAAGATAAACAATTCTCTTGGGAACAACCACGGAGTTTTCACATCCTTCTTCGAGAATGGTCTCTAACTTTGAACGTCTTGAGTTTTTGTGATGACAAATGAGGAGGGTAGGTGCTACTTCGCCCCAGTTTTGAATGTACCTGACCTCTTTCATCATCTGTAACAAAATGTAGGAGGAATCCTCTTCCTCTCCCTAGAAGAAAAGATGGGATTTTGGGATGTGGGTCTTTTGGGAGAGGAAGAAGGAAGCAGGTGTTGGAGGGATCTTCACATTTGGTTGGAGAGATTGGCAAGGGACAGAGGATTTATATACGGAAATGGAGGGGTTTAAGTGCTTAAATTGGGAGCAGCCAAAAAAGGAAGTGCTTAAATTTGGGATAAAGTGGAGGAAGAGGAATAGGAATAGGAAGTTTGTTGGTGATGAGACAAAAATAGATACATGCGTAGGGAATAAAAAATACCGTTTCAGAAAAGGGGAAATAAAAAAAAATAAAAAAAGAAGGAATAATTGGCAGGGTCATTTTGATTGGGAATTGAAGACATTTAAATTTGCAAAAGTAAATATTTTATAGTTATAATATCATACAACGGCGTAAAGAGTTCTTAATTAATAAGTTAATTTGCTTCTCACTTTATTAATTAAATTCAATTCCTTTGAAAGCACAATGAAAAAATAATTTTCCATAATTTTACTAATCCAACATGGGTGAGTTGCTTTTGATGGAATTAGAGAGTTTTTATTTTAAAGTGCATATAAACTAATTCAAAGATACCATAACCACTAAAAAAAAATAAAAATACATGACATTGTAAGTTTGCAATTATAACTTATCATTTTATGATTAATTTTTTTATTTAAAAATATATTTATAATATTATATACATTTACTCATTTAATTATTTTATTCAATGCAACTTTTGTCGCATGTTCTGTTCGGGAAACAAAACTATACAGAGGTTGGAAATTAGATCCAACTTTACCCAAGAATTCTTTTGATCTTTTGATGAATTATTTAATAGACATTTGATAATAAACTATATAATAAAAAAATTATACATATCCAAATAAAGGAAGAAGAGGGAAACGTAGGGAAATAGAGGAATATTTTCTCCTCTTCCCTCCATTTTCCTCGAATCAAATATGGAGTTAAAAGTGTTAATAACTTCATCATGCTCTTCCTTTTAGAGTAATGTACTAGGTTTCAGGCAAGAATTTGTCGATAAGGATCAAATGGAAGCCTCCAATGGAGTATATAGAATATTATGGTTAACATTTGAAGACGTTGAAATCACCATACAGCAACAAAAGTGACAAGACCAAAAACAAAGAGTGCACTCTCAATGTGGCCCTGAAAGGGTGGTGAACACAGAAGCAGAAGAAGAAAACGAAAATTTTTAATGGAAAATGGAATGAACATCAACTCTTTTTCCATCCTTGTGGATCGAGAACAATGCTGGGCGACCATGCAACGTGGTGGACACTACATCACATGCTACTCAGGCAGGTTTCCGGCATTGTCTTAACATTGCATTGGCCAACAGGCAACAGCTGTTATGGAACATCAATCCTCAATCCTTCTATCCGTGAAAGGGAAAGTTCCAATAGTACTAGGAGAAGTTGTTGATCGACTAATGAATATAGAATGACATAGAAGAACATTCAGATTAGCGAAAGCTTTCACATTACCAACCAATCAAGCAACTTGAGTACTCTTAGAACTAATAAAGCTTTGAAACAATGAACATTGCATAAACAATAATAACTGAGAACTGAATCTGAAAAAATTAACCAAAATGTCATATATCAAAGGATTAGAAACATGGAGAAAAAAAAAAAAAGGAAAAGAAATCCACCACTCTGCTGTTAATTCTTCCCAACTTCTAAGTTTTCGACAATGGCAGAAAATGGTAGATCTTACACTTTGGATATTCAAGAACAACACGAATAATCTTGTCAATAAGAGATTTATCTTTCACATAATGCGTCTACATTTCCTCTTACCACAAGTGCCAAATAGGATGGCTTTGCACCCAAACTTCAAACCATAGGTGATAGGTATTATACATACGCTCTGCTATTGAAGATACCACTCTATATTTTGCTTTACAAGACAACTCACATAAATTTGGACTATCAACCGTCACAGCATGCAATTTAAAGCATTGAACAATATGCAGTCTATTAAGTTGAAGATTATGAATCCTTATCAATTTCAACCTATGACATCCAATGATCCAGAGATTCTCAAGAAGTGGAAATGTGGAAATAAGGCCATGAAAATCCATCTCTAAGATCTCTGAGTTAAACAACACCAAAGTTTCCAGACCAAGACAACAATCTGCCACCTTAATCTTCCAACATAATCTTATAGACATAAAGACAGTTTTTCAGACTTGGTGTTACAATCTCTATGCTCTTGGGTTCATATATCCCGCAAACCTCTAGAGTCTTGATTTGTGGACTTGAAATCTTTATCCTTTTAAGTGAACCACAAGTAAAAAGAGACAGCCCCTCAAGGAGTGGAAGTTTTGAAAAGAAGGTAACAAAACTCTTCGTCTGTAATTTCAGCAGATTGAAAATGAAAGGATTTCAAGCGATCACAACCAACAATATCGAGGTTTGATCCAGTTCTAACGGGATGAGCTCTAATAGTCAAATTCTGTATACTTTGAGATGCAATAAAAAACCCAACACCTCCATGACGGACATGTACTCTAACTTCTACAGTGTGAAGTCGAAGCAGATTCGATAAGTGGACAGATAACTCGAAACCAGAACATTCAATGAGATATAAATCTTCAAGCAAAGGGCCATCATTCTGCTCCAACATAATGGGACAATTTATAACACAACGCACTAAATCCAGCTTTCTAAGAGAGTTGAACACAGATAAAGCTGGTTCAGCATACATTTACTCAATTTCAGAATGCTTAACGATTTTGAAGACGAAAATGGAGATTGATGCAGAGTATATCGTGTGGTTATACGCAAAATGAGGTCAAAGTCTAACTGTAACTTTCTCAAGCCATTTTCTAGGGCTAAATTTATCCAACTATCAAGATGAGGAAAGAGTTCCTCAGGCCATAGGGGAAAACAAACTGGTTCCAACAATATATTTGCCTGGTTAAAGTGAGACGGAGATTTATAAACATGATGTCTGAAATTTTCCACAGAATGATGGTGAAGCAGATAAAAATCCAAGACAGGATAATCTTTCTGGAAACGGTACCATGTTTTGGACAAAACACTAGTTTGAACTACATGTGTTGTGGAAAGGTGAGACATGATCTGATGAATGTTGAATTCAGGAAAGTCGGAGATCCGGTCCGGACCAACATTCTTCTTCTTCTTCTTCTTCTTCTTCTTCCGCTTGACGTCGGTAAAATCTGGTGCAGAGTCGGAGCAGGGATTGAGTGTCGGTAGTTTTCGGTGGCTAAAAGGTAAGGCTGCAAAACGAGAGTTGAGATTTAGCGAGGAATGGTGGAGGAATCGAGGCTCGACATGGAGATTTGGGGGGAATTGAGAATCGAAAATTTTGAGATTTGAGATTTACTACTGTAGGGTTTGGGACTCGTGGAGTCCAAGAGTCAAGAGTACGTTCTACCTTCTAGCTCAATATATCTTTAGAGTTAGAAGTTAGAATGGTTACCATAAAAATGGATGCAAAGTCCTTTATAAAAAACAGTTCTTAAACAAAGTGATATTCTGCTGCATAAACAAAAGTAGAAGGATTTTGAGCATCAGGTTGTAATGAATTGTATTGACATGATGGTTTTGTTGTAAATACACACAATACACTGTCAAAATAACAAGGGCTGAGAAACAGACATGAAAGTAACCATAGGTGGTCAGTTCTTTCTCTTCGCCAGTTCTTTGCTGTATAGTTCTCAAGAGTATAGCTTGCTCGTTTTTCTCTTTTCAACTTGACATGCTTTACCAGTTCCATGATAAATATGATGTACCCCTATAATTCCTACAAGCACAGAGAGTATGTGGAGAGTAAATGCCACAATCAAGCATCCATGTGAGATTGAGAAGAAGGGAGCATAGATATATCACAGAAATAAATGCTGCAATCAAAAAAGAAAAAAATGCATTTAACTTATGATATACACAAACCAAATAAGAAAATGGGAAATCGTGCACCATAGACCAAGTGCTTGGAAGTAATGTAGAAATTATAGATGGCAAAACTTAGTAAATACAAACTAATTTTCTCCAAAAAAAGAATAAAAAAATCTTTGGTTCAAAGTTCTGCTTTCATAAAAAAACCCAAAGAACAGTTAGACATAAATTATAAATCTTATTCTATAAAATGGGAAAAGATTAAGAAAATGATAAGCCCCATGAAATCGAACTGAATTTGCAAAGAAAACTGGCATTACCTTTTTACCTTCGATATTTTACATGTAGCAACATGAAGACAATGGACAAGATGATAGATGAAGAACCAACGAAGATACAGGCAGCACCAAGGAAGTCATTCTTTCCACCCAACCAGCCTGTCGTTGAAAGAACAAGCTTCTTTTTACCACCAAAACTATAAGTGTTATAGTTGTTCATCAGTGTGACAAATACAACATCATCGGCTTCCAAATCCTCTTCAATTCTTCCATACAGCTTTCGGAAGCTAGGGAGAGCAGATGTGCGCATCCATACAATTAGGTCCTCTTGATCATGTAGCTAATTATTTTGATGTAAGAAAAAGAGAACCAAAGAAAAAAAAATTTTTTTGAGATCTATTTTTAGCTAGACAAGTACTGAAAACAAAAAGTAAAATTAGAACATTCCAAAGAAAAACACAGAATCACATAACCTCTGATCATAGGATTAGAATCCAATGCATGCTGGGTTGGGATTGAGCCAGTACTATATCCTACTTTTGTCCCAGCTTGAACCAAACCAGCCTGCTCTATCTAATTCTATGGCCATGCCTTGGACTTGCTAATATAATTAAAACAACAAAAATGCAAAATGATAATAGCTAGTTGGATTTCTACAATTAAATATATGGAAATTTATAAGTTACAGATAATAAACCCCTGTTTTCTCTTATTTTTGACTGATTCTTCAACTTGCACTTCTACTTGATGAAATGATATGAAGTTATGATTTCCATCAAAAACTACAGAAAAATATACAGACCAAGCAAGGAACATTTCCCCTGGACTCTGGAGTTAATACTTACAGGAATATCTGGATCCAGCTTTGCACCACCAATCAGAGTCCCGTTCTGAAAATTGATAGGATATACTTTCTTTCCAAACTTGTGATCACGATCACTCTCCCATGCAATATTTTTCCTGTTGACCTTGAGTTCTGCTCTTCCACGAATAAATGTAAAAGTATCATTGAATAAACTCCATGCTATCAATCCACATGGGACAATAGGGAGACCATTGTTGTACTCTTCAGGTTGACAGGAACTTGTATCATAGTGTGCATGCCCATGTAAGAGCTGCTGGTCGCTTCTACTTTTGATGTATCTAGAAATTATTGCAATATGAGGTTAAGAAATGATAACAGAATAACCTATTTCTAGAGCAGTAGAGATTTGGACTTGAATAGGTGACAAGCAGGAAAATTTGGAAAAAATTCAAATTTCAAAACAAGTCACAACAATAATTCAATGACAAGGGACTGTCAAAAACCACTTTAGAGAAGTTCGGTACAGCTACTTTAGAAATGATAACAGAACAACCAATTTCTTACTAAAGTTGGTCAGACTAAAAATATGCTCATCAAGTGTTAGACCTCATACCGTCGATGGTTTTGGTAATAATTATCAAGCTGATAGTAGATGTAAATTGGAGCTTTCATATGCTTGTGCACCTGAAAAGAACGTTACCAACATATTGAATTAAATTTTGCATTACAAACCCATGAAAAAGTAAAGAAAAGACACTGTCAAAAGTGAAGTTGCATGCGGCATATAACAGGCCTGAATCAATATTACTGCAATAGTGCAATAAGAATAAAGCTAGCTACATTGAAAGCAAGTTATTCCTTTATCCCAGAATCTACTTCATAAACAAAACTATGTTGCTTCTCATCATAGCAAAGATTAGTACGTAATACTAACAGTAAAGAAACTACCTAAAGTAAAAAAATTGAGTTTAAAATGACAAAAAAAAAAAAATGTAAAAAGCAAATGGTTAATATAAATTCATTTGGATTAAGATTGCTTCATGAATCATGACATCCCCTCCTACATCAGAAATCCTGGCTGACTAATTTCATCAAAATTCAGATTTGTTAGAAACATTAATCCGTTAACGTATGGGGCTTAATAATGTTGCAAAGACTAGACAATTCCAGCTTCCAACAACTCAAATATCTAATTAATCACCAGTATTTACATCTAGGAGATGCTTGGAACCAATCCTTGGACAAAAGGATATAATGGCCAAAATCAATAATATTCAGATGGCGCAATATGTTAGTAAAAGAGCATCTTTGCATATGTCATTAAGTTCACAAATTTACTAAGTTCTCCAAAAGAAAGCATTTCAAATTGAAATACTGTATATGGTACTAAGGCAATAAGAAAATATCACCTTCAAAGACCGATAACAGTTCTTGGGAATTGAACCATTCTTGATGTATGACACTTTATTACCTCTAAATGCCTTGGGTACACATTCAGCATCATATCGATAAACAATTTCAACAACCTACCAATCAAACATTAAATAATTAATAATGAAAATGGACGACCATTCCTCTATATAGCAATGTGTGCTTGGAAAAGAAGCAACAAACAGTAGCATTATCTACTAAGACCAGAGAAGACAATTACACTACGAGAGGCATGAAGAGTTACAAGCCCAAGAGGAATAAAAATGGAACCGATGAGCATAAATGCAGTAATAACCTGCAGAAATGAAGATTACACCCATCAATAAAAATGAGGCAACAACCTCTAGTGGTGATGGCCAACATCACAAAAGTACAAGAAAAAATAATAAACAAAGACAGAAGATTTTGAGAATTATGATCTCAAGCACTCACCCAAACTGGTGTCAAGACAGGTTTACAAGCTGGGAGCTGTTGCTGCTTAAAAAGATCGAAAGCTGCAAAACCACCAAATCAAAAATTTTAATATCATATGCACAGAGGCATACCCTGTCTGTGCAACGTAATTGGTCATATGTGATAGCTAACTGATGCATGCTGATGCTCAAACAGAAGCATTCATATACTGACACACCCATTCACAGCCAATATATTACTGAAAGTCCATTTGTTCAGAATGTGTATCTGCACACACACATGTTCATATGAACTAACCAGTCACAAAGATATATTTCTGTGCATACACATATCCATATAAAACAAAAAGAGAAAAAAAAAAAATGATAGCAGCAGTGCCTATAAAGAAAATAAGAAGCGAAAAAAGATAACCTGTCCGTCTTGAACGCCCACCATTTGCTCTGCCATTCGAGGTACTTGCACCGCCATTCGAGGTACTTGCACCATCCACTTCCATCACTTCTAAACTTCTGCTGTGCTTTTCCACAATAGTCTATTCCTCAAGCAAAGTTTCAACCCTCAATATCTCTGAAAATCACACAACAATATTAATCTTACATTCCCACAATCTGCCCTGAACGAGGGGTAAAATCCCCTTTGATTTTATAATGAATTTTCTAAAAATGTCATTAAATTCCCAAGTCTATATATAAGTCTTCTCTGTAGAATGTCGCCAAACTATGCTAATCTAGCAATTCTAAATCTACAATTCAAGAATAAAACAAAGGAAAGAAAAAGAGAAACACAGTCCCATGCATCTACATTGTGCGTTATTAAACAAAGAGCTTTTGAATATTTTTTTTTTTCTCCTTCTCATCTAGCGCAGCTTCATCCAAGTGAGAAACTACCAAAAATTGAAACCTTTTCAGTTAATTTTTCCTTCGCGTTTTCTCAGCAACCAAACGGAGGATAAAAATAAGCCTAAAGCCTACCGAGAAAATCAAACTGCAAAGCAAAGAATTCCTGTACTTTATAGTTCGATTAGCTAGAAAAGCTTAGAAAATTAACAAAAAACCAAATAAATTTGTGAAGATCAAATTGAAAAAATATGAGAGGAAATGATTCTTACCTCCAAATTTGAAAATGAGGATTGGTTTGGGAATTCTCTCTCTCTTTTTTTTTTTTTTTCCTTCGTTTTATATCGGGGGAGAGATTGCTTTGGTTGAGGAAATTGGAATCTCGCGGAGATTGATCTAGAATAAGAATAACAAGAAAATCCACTGGCCGACTCCAATTCATGAATTCTTTTTAAAAAATAAGTTCTTTTTACTGTATATCTTTAAATACTCCATCTGTTTATTTATTTATTTTTTAAAGTTAAGGTGATTTGATCTTTAACTTCTTTTTATACATATTTTAAGTAAAAATTTAATATATTATATAAAAGATAATTAAAATTTTTTATTAAATTAAAATATTCAATTAAAATTTTATATAGAAAAAAAATTTAATTATTATTAACATAAATTATTAAGTTTTTATTTTAAATTTATATTCAAAAAATTTTAAAATCATATTAAATCTATTAAAAATAAACAATACAAATTAAAATAGTGTTTATTAAATTTATTCAAATGAGAAGCAACAAAAAGCCAACAAATTCTTTTCACAAAATTATTGGCGTATAGAACTTTGAGCAACTAAAACACTATATTGGTATAAATTGCCTGATTATAAATATAAATTGAATTTAGGGAGAATATTATACGTACTGTAAATATACATTGAAGTCATGGAGAGTATTATATGCACTGTACTCTTTTTCCCTTCGCCACAATATTTTTTTTCCCACTAGATTTCTTTTTTGGGCAAATTTTTTAATAAAGCAATTTAACAAGTGTATAATAAAAGGTGGATATCCAAGGAGGGAGTGTTATGAATCAATTCATTGTAGATGTTTCACCTCATCTTCTTACCTCTCCATTTTCCATGGCATTTACACACCAAATAATAGTGTAACTTCCACTACCTCCATGCAATTATAATGGTGATTAATACTCCATAATACCATACATGTAGATGGTGATAATAAAATTCCTTATAACCTCTGTTTATTTCTTGTAACTCCCATCCCCTATTAACCCCTATGCATAGGGCTTGTACTCTTGCAAATGTATGAAGATGGGAATATATGAAAATATATGAAGAATAAATAAAGAAGAAAAAATTAAAAATATATATTTTTGCATTACCTCATTTTATCTCTCTAATTTATTCTCTTCTTCTAATTGATTCTTTCTTTATTTTACAACAATATTAACTTTTAATTTATTAATTATCTAATTAAATTTATTTAACTAATAATGGTACTAAAATTAATATTAATTTTTATATTTTTCTATATAAATTATTAAAAAAATGCACTCACCTAGAAAAACCCTAAAAATATAGGAAAAATGGCAAAATGAAATTGGTGAAAAAGGCTCCTAAGCAATAAGAAGACTGGAGCCTCCAAAAAGGCGGTTGTGTTCCTAATTATGCTTCGCGCCCAACGGCCAAGAAATCCACTGAACTTTTTCCACCTCAAATTCCCATGCTTCCCCGCAATCCAAACAAAACCGTTTAGTACAATATCTTCTCTTTTTAACCTCTGCAAGAAACCACGTCATCTTCAACAAATCCATGCGAGATTCATCCTCCATGGTCTCCACCAGAACCAAACTCTCTCCTCCAAGCTCATTGATTCATATGCCAACCTTGGCCTACTAAATCTCGCCCAAAAGCTCTTTGATTCTATAGCCAACCCAAGTTTGCTACTTTACAACACGAATATAAGGAGTTTGGTAAACTCTGGAGAACATAAGGGAGCCCTCTTTCTGTACCGGGAAATGGTAATGCAGGGCATGTACCCAGATGAAGAGACTTACCCTTTTATTTTGAGGGCATGTTCTTGTTTGTTGGATACTGAATATGGGAAAAGGGTTCATGGCTGCTTGGTGAAATTGGGTTTTGATTCGTTTGGTATTATAGGTGATGCTCTCGTGGAATTGTATTGGGGATGTGGTGAATTTGAGAATGAGTATCAGGTGTTTGATAAAAAGTCTGTTAAGGATTCAAATCATTGGGACATGTCGATTTTTGGGAGTTTCCAGAGTGGACATGCTAAGGGGAGTTTTCCTGGTTTTGGGGAAAAGAGAATGGAGAATTTTGACCCTAATGCAGGCACTATAATCAGCTTGTTGAGGTCAAGTGTTGATTTGGGTTCATTAGATACAGGAAGAGCTCTTCATTGTGTCGTTCTTGTGAGTAATTTGGGACAAGATTTATCTGTGAATACTGCTTTATTGTCAATGTATTCAAAACTGGGTAGTTTAGGGTGTGCAAGTCTGCTATTTGAGAAAATGCCAGAGAAGGATTGTGTTGTGTGGAATATAATGATATCTGCATACTCTCAATATAGAAAACCCAAGGAATCCCTCGAACAATTAAGGTGTATGGCAATATCTGGTGTCAGAGCTGATTTATTTACTGCAATTCCTGCCATTTCCTCGATTAGGCAGTTGAAATTCATTGAGTGGGGAAAAGAAATACATGCCCAGGTAATCAGAAATGCGTTGGATTCTCAGGTTTCTGTTCATAATTCTCTTATTGACATGTATCGTGAATGTGATTGCTTAAATTATGCACAAAAGATTTTTGACTCTATAACTGAGAAGACTGGAGTTTCATGGAGTTCAATGATCAAAGGGTATGTAACTCATGGTCAGAATCTTGATGCTTTGTCTCTTTTCTCTGAGATGAAGTTGGAAGGAATTGAGATTGATTTTGTCACAGTTATCAACATCTTGCCTGCCTGTGTGAATCTAGGAGCATTAGAACAAGTTAAATACCTGCATGGATACTCAATGAAGTTTGGTCTGAATTCACTATCATCTGTTAATTCAGCATTTCTTGTTAGTTACGCAAAATGTGGATGCATAGAGATGGCCAGGAAGCTTTTCAATGAAGAGGAAATTGATGGTAAAGATGTAATAACATGGAACTCCATGATCAGTGCATATGCTAAACATGGGGACTGGTCTCAGTGCTTCGAGTTGTACAACCAGATGAAGCAATCAAATCTGAAACTGGATCCAGTAACCTTTCTTGCATTACTAACAGCTTGTGTGAATTCAGGTCTCGTTAAAGAGGGTAGGGAGTTTTTCAAGGAGATGCAGGAAACGTATGGTTTCCAACCCAGCCAAGAACACTATGCCTGCATGGTGGATTTATTTGGACGTGCTGGGCATATCAATGAGGCAAGAGAACTTGTAAATGATATGCCCATCAAACCAGATGCTAGAGTATGGGGTCCCTTGTTGAGTGCCTGCAAGATGCATTCTGAGACCAAACTTGCAGAGTTTGCTGCTGAGCAACTTATAACTATGGAACCAGGAAATGCTGGGAATTATGTTCTGCTCGCAAACATATATGCAGCAACAGGGAAATGGGATAAATTTGCTAAGATGAGGAGAGTTCTTAGAGAGAGGGGTTTAAAGAAAACCCCTGGCCTTAGCTGGCTAGAGATAGATGGATGTGTTTATGAGTTCCGGGTAGCTGATAGGTCTCATCCAAAAGCAAATGCCATATATGCTTTATTAGGAATCCTGGAATCTGAAATCAAGGAGGATCAATGTTTTCATGCAAAAGAAGTTTCTTAAAGGTTAATCTTTGCTGGGCTGAGCGAAATTAACGAAGGACTTTTGTTGGCCAACAAGAACTGTAGGTAAGTGATGGTGGAAATGAATTCACTAGCGGAACTCAAACTGTTGCAAAAGCATTCACACAACGCCTGCGTCAGAATTACCCTATGGTTGTTGTAACGTGATGCGCTGGTTGTACTGAAACAGACTAAAGTTTTCCAGGTTTTCAATTGAGAAGGTGTTTGTCAGATGGTTTCAATGTTAAAGATAACGAAGGACCCTGTCAACATGGAAATAGTTTCGATCTTGAAGCCAGTGAGGGATTCTGCCAACAACTTGGAATTGAATCTTTCTTGTACCATGGATTAAGGTTTGAGGGATCAAAAAAGACCATTTAAATGCTTTATTGGTCTAAACCTCTTTTCCGCCGTTTTGGTATGTTAACCATGTAACAATATCGGCAAATAACAAACAGTTCAACCCAAGTTTATTTTAGTCCAGGTCGAGCTCATATAACTTTTTCAAGAGCTTGTGAGACAGCTGATTTACAGTTGAACACTTCTGCATTGCTCTGGCAGAGATCTCGCCACGCATTTCTTGTAGACATACCAGGAACAAACCAGTAACCTGATTCTGAATTACCATATATTCTCCTAGCAGAATTATTTGAACAAATAATACTTGTTGCAGGCATGATATCTTCTTTTGTTGTTTTACTGGTGTTGCATTTAAATATTGATATTGCGAGAGAGAAAAAATCAACTCTTTCCTTCTTTTTTTTTTTTGATTGGGTGGATGTCAACGAAGAACTCAATGTTGTAACTTGTAAATTCAATTTCCTGTAACCTGAGCTAGGAATTGAAAATGGAGTCATGATAAAAACCTAAAATCAGGCAAGAAAGAACTTCAATTTTTAAGCAACTGAGTACATTTTCAATTACTGGATCAACCTTTAAGGGTTGTTTACATCACCGAAATTTTGACCATAACCCAATCAAAAGGATCAGTGAATAAATAACATCAACTTTTAACAAAATAAAATACTCAGCATATCCAAAACAATAAGAACAACTTTACCAACTGCCAAAATTTTAATTTGGTGGAGGTGATCACTGGACCTCAAATGGGTTCAGCGAACAAAAGAGGGTCATTTGTATAAAGATCCTTGCAACAATTGCTGCATCCTATTCCTCTTTAGGAGCTCCTTGTCCAATTTTTGGTCGTTTAGAAGCTGAGAAATTGTGGAATAAAAAACCATCAATCACCTATTTTCTAATAATAGTTCAAATGAAAACAAAGCAAGATTATATGTAAGGAAACCTAAGAACAACTTAAATCATGAACTGGCAATTACAGCATGGCAGAACCAAAGATGACACACCCTAAGGTTCAGAAACACCCACAAACCATTCTCATAGAAAAGTAGAAATCAGAATAAGCAGCTCTAACAATCTTATAGCACTCAAGTTGTAACTCTGCATAGTCATTCAGCCATTGCAGCTAGCTATCCAAGGACAAGAAGGGTCAAATATGCAAAAACAAAAATGCAACTGCAGCAGGTCAATGACATTACAAGAGGTTCCCACAAGAATTACAGATCAGTTAGTCAAGCCAAGTCATTTACCAAACCACACAAACTAAAAATGAATAATGAGCATTTAATATTCATCATAGAGATAAAAATCATCTGACATGCTTAAACAGCCATGAATGATAAGATAATATACAACACTGACAGCATGAAGACAAGAATAGAAATTATCATCAGTTCACCTCAAGGATAACAAATGCAATCTGGAAGAAACAAACAGAATACTCACATTTCAATTTCAAAGAAGACCCAGCAAGACAAGTTAATCTTGACTTTGTATCAACCTCAGCCAATGGACTTCGCTTCTCCTTAATGGCCATGCGAACATCCCAAACACGTATACACCCATCCGATGATGCAGATGCCACCAAATACGGATCCTCATTAGTAACATCATGATTATTCTTTGTAAGCACAACAACACCTTTTACACGAGTAGAGTGAGCATTCTCAATGCTATAAGCAACCTTTCCGCTGTTTGTATCCCATGCTGTAATATTTCGGTCCTCACCACCAGTGAATAAAATTCCGCTCTAGCCAAAAAAAAAAAAAATCAGAGATTTTAAGGAAGGCATGCAACATTTTACTGAAAAAACAAAAATCCAAACAACCCAGCATAAATGGAACACCAAAACGAGTTCACAAAGAAATGAGAATTGGCCTGAGTTAAAGCAATATATGATCCTAAATAAGTAAATATTGTTAGATGAATCCATCACCAGTAAGAACTAAATATCTCCTAAACATCTACTGCCTTTTGCTAAATACTCCAAAAATTCAATCTTTCTCCTAGATTGAACCAAAATATCAAAATTTGCTGACAATTAACAATGGAACAACATAAACCCAAATTAACCGAGGAAACACAAACAGTCCAATAGATAACCCAAAAAAATTCATAAACTTCACGAACTAACCTCCCCAGGAGCAGCACAGAGGACCCGCTTCTGATTCTCTAACGCAAAAAGCAATCTTGCATCCTCGGCCATGTGAATCCCAACCTTCTCATCAGAAATCATGAAAAACCTCTCCCCACTCCCGTCAAACTTAACCAGAGTTGCCTCCTTCCCTAACCTGCAACAAAAGCTGCGCTTTCCCCGCATCAAATTGGACATAGCTAGACACCCATCGCGCGAAACACTAAGAGCCAGCTTCCCCGACGGGTGCACAGCAAGATCATTGATCCCCTTCTTGTGCGCCCTAAAAGACTTGAGAAGAACGAACGGTTTGCTATCAAAGATGGAGATGGAGCCATCGGCAGAGGCGGATAAGAGGTTTCGGGGAAAGGATAGGTTGGGAGGGCAGTAAAAGGAGAGAGCGGTGACGGAGGAGGAGAAGTGGTGAAGAGCGCCAAAAGAGGCGGCAGATGGAAGGTCGTAGATTTGGACGGTGTCATCAGAGGAGCCAGAGGCTGCGGCAGGCCCCGCTGCTGCAACGGTGGTGATGGGGCCCTGGTGAGAGGGGTAGGAGAAGAGCTGGGTTAAGGTTAAGGTTAGGGTTTGCGTGGATGGGTCGTGCTCGGTGGGTTTGAGCTTGAAGCCCCAGATGAAGCGCTCGTAGGAGCCTGCAACAAGGGACATGGCGGTGGAGCTTGATTTTGAGAACAAAGACTTGTGCCTTGGGAAGGGTTTTGTGTGGGTTTGGAAGAACGAAATTGTGAGGACAGTAAATCTTAAATTCGACCTCTAACATTTGTTTTGGTCTTAATTTGACCCCCTAACTTTCTAATTCATAGCTTTTAGTCCTTCACTTTGTCGAGGGTTAGGTAAAATGGCATGCATGCACTTACGGTTATGGAAATCTAAATGGCTATCCAACTCTTTTCTCAAAAATCTTTAAGTGGCTTCACACGTGCAGAATTTGAATATAGGCGTGCCATTTACTTTTCTGAAAAGTAAGAAAAAAGATTCTCCCAACAACCTTTTCCTTTCACGTGGTCGACTTCCATTAAGGTGGCTAGGATAAGTTTAAAATTGAGTTCTACGCCCTTTGGACGATTTACAGGAGGGAGAGATACCTTTTCTGCAGAATGGATTGCTAATCTGTCTTGGATAATCTTAAGGACTTTATCAATATCGTGAGTTTAAAATTAATAGATTCTAAGTGAACTAAATGAAATGTAAATTAAAATACACTCAAATAGACAACTTCATTTTAGTTAAATCTACCATACTCAACACCAGATTAATTTATGTCTGTAAATGGATTCACAAATTAACCTATTCTAGATCTTGGAAATTTAAAAACTAATTAATTGAAAAGCATGTACAGATAAGGATTAAACTAATATGAAAAACAGAACAAGATAGAGGCATGAATGCCATGAACATCAAAATAAATAATAATCAAAAAAGAAATTGTACCTTGCAAAAATTAGAATACTTGTCATCTATTACATCAAACACAATTGAAGAAGCTAAAACCAGATAATCAACAATCTAACTTCTACAAAGTATTGTGCTGAAAAAGGAATTTGAAAGCTAAAGAAATGATCTAAAAATGTAGAAATTTGTTATGGGTTATGTGAAGAGTTGATTGTGTATCTTGAGAAAATTTAAAAAACTTCTATTTATATGCGTCTTGTGAACTGTCTCTTGGTTGATCATATCATAGACAACTTCCTCCCAAATTCCAAGGATTTTTGTTCCATTTAAATTCAAGCTGCAACAAACTGGATAAACTTAATCCTTCCAACCAACTTTACAAATATATATCCCTTTAGTAGATTTAATCTCATCTTATCCCCTTGACACATAGCATTATTAAAAAATGTAATTTACAGTGTATACACCAACATTAGAGTGAGAAAGGTTTGTCTTAAAGATCTTGGTGTCTTAGCTAAAAGTTAAATTTTTTTTTTTTGGCCACCTAGCTAATGGTTATTTTATGTCTCTTTGGTAAAATATAATAAATATTAATTATCAACTATTAATCGTATTTTAATTGTTAATTTAAATGAAAATTATTAATTGTATTTTAACTAATAATATGAACAAAGATGAGATAATTTCTTATTTTCATTCGCATCTTGATTTGAATTCTAGATAAATCTTTATTTTCTTCTAAAGATGTTACCTATTAAGTCACATAGTTATAAATTTTTTTATCTTAAATTATACAATGAGGGTTAATTTTTTTCTATCTCTTAATTTACTTCATCCATATATCATGTACCTTAAATTTAGAACATTTTATTTATAACAAAAAAAGGGACTATCAATTGAATTGATTGAAAAAACTAACAATATTAGATTAAGACAAGTTAAAAAGTAGGGGAAATATTTATTGTTCTGAAAAATATTAGTAGGTTTTTTTAGACCAAGTCACAAAGTTAGCTCCTTGGCACATTGCAGAGGTGAAACCTTTAAATTTGATCCCAAATTTAAAGTGACAATTTGTTAACAAATAAATCTTTACAGGTTACAACATCTGTGTTTAAAGGCAAAAAGATGAATTTTTTACAATTTTGCTAGGATGGAGTTTGTAAATCTTTCAAAAAGGCCCCTCCTTTAAATAAAGATGAAAAATTTTCCTCATTCTCATTAAGCATTTTCTTCTGTGTCATGACGGTTGTCCAATATTAACAGGGACCAGGACCAGTTCCAGAAAGCCAATTAACAGGGACAGGGACCAGTCCCAGAAACCCAGCTAACATAGTCGACCGTACCATGGAGTAATATATACCAGGGATTATGGACTAACCATAGTAACAATACAACTCCTTTCAGTTGCTTTGGTGGGGTTGAATCCTCTTAGGAAAGCGCCGTTCTCTCTTTCTCTCCCCAATGAACCCAGAAGAAAAGCAGCCTTCTTCCCCTCCTACCTCGCAGGCTGATCCTCCCCAACCGCCGCTGCCGGCTCCAACGCCTTCTCCATTCGATCCAAGTCGAAGTAAATCTCTCACCTTTACTAATGCTTCGTGGGTGTCTGTAATTTCTGTCCTTTTGGGTTTATTAATTTTACTTGTTAGGGTTTTGGGTCGATTTTATTCTGACCTTTCTATCTGTAGGGAATTGGTTTGGGTTTCTTTTGTTGATTTAATTTCATTTTTATTGCTTGTTTTGTTGCTTACTGCGCTGATATAAGAGCTAGTTATGCTTTAAAAAAAAGAAATTGTAAATGCTACAATGAAGGGCTAATCTTGATGTTATGTTATGGAAGATCACATGCTTTCTTGAAATTAGTATGGGTATAATAGTGTAATGTACTTCAAAAGATGGTAGCTGTCATGGTTCAGCATGATTTACTTGATGAGTAACAATTGGCAAACTCGGATTCATTTTCAAGTGGTCACTGAACCATTTAAGGTTTTCTCTTTCACTAATCGGTTCTTTAGCAGTGCAGTATGTAGGATTATTCCGTTGATTCTGGCTGTCTAGACTTGTTACTAATTTCCTCCATTCCATGCATCTTACACTTGAAATTTTTCATTTTTTCATTTTTTTTTTTTTTTTTTGAAGTGATTGGTATCATCAAAAGAAAGGCCTTGATAAAAGAGTTAGCTGCTGTATACCATGCAGAGTGCCTTGCATACTGTCAAGAACTTTTAGAACTTCAGAAAAAATGGGAAGAGGTATTGTGCATTGGTTTGTTCTTCCTCATTTTAAGTTTAAGAATGACTTTTAAATGTTCAACTGTAATTGTCAGCTGAAGAATATCTCTGAATCTCTGATAAGTGCTCTATATTATTTAATCTAGTTTCTTTTGTCTCTTGCATGCTTCACAAGTATAACTAACCATGCTTCTTTAACCATTAAACGTCCTGCTAACTATAGCATGTGCAGACATTTCCCTTTGTTTAAATTGACTTAATTAGTTTATATGGAAGAGTTAGAATTTAGATAATACGTAAATATAACAATATCATTAATCTATCAACTGAAAAGAAACCAAAAATGTTGTTTTGTTTGGGAGGGGGGTCTTGTGTTTTTTTGAAAGGAATTTTTTACATTCAAATCTTTTTAAGATAATTTATGTTGTTCACAGCCTTGAACATGCTGATACACTTAGGCCCCTCTCCTTTTTTTTTCTCTTCCACTTATTCTCCCTAAAAAGTTTATTCAGATTGAGCTATAGATCATACAGTCATTAATTAGATGTCATTTGGAAATATATCAGGTACAGGCATACAGCTTCATGTGTATGTTTGTTTAGTAGCCCTCTCATTATTCTTTTATGCTCAAAATCAACTTCACCAGTGGAGGAAAACCCTATTGTCAAATTCATTAGAGTATTGAATCTTAAACTGTCAACAGATAAAAAGGAAATGGTGGTTATTTGGGAATTTGATTATCAAGAAAGAATCTTGTGCAAGGCCTTGCTTGATGGTGTACACTTTAAGCAAATTAAGGCATGCCACATTGCAAAATATTTGCATATATTTTTTCTACACTTCTAATGAGTATTCAGTATTTTCTTTTCGTCTGGATATTTGTATGTACATGTATGTGTATCTAATGTTCACACATTTGGGAAGGAAGAATGAATTACTCCTTCAGAACTTTTAATTCCAATGAGAAAACTGGATAACATAATAACGTAGGATATTTATAGCTGTTGTTGTGTTTCTGTTTGCAAAGTTCCATCAACATCAATAATCATCTTGCTTTCATTATTAACACCTTATATACTGTTTATCAGATCTAGAGGGTTTTTGTGGTTGTCTGTTTTTTTATCTGTTGTTTTGATTATCACAGCCAACTACTAAATTCGAAAGTGCTCTGAAAATATGTGCAGCCACTTATAGATGTTAAATCTCCTGATGATTTAAAGAAAGAGACAACAAGGCCTCCGAAACGTGTAAAGAAGACTCGCTAAGCATATAGTAAGGTTTGGATCTAATAATCTCATGTCTATTTGGTCAGTGTATTGATTGTCAGAAGATGCAAATAATTCATGTTGGGACCTTATAGAAGTTATATCTTTCATGATTAGCGTGCATTGCCTGTTTTGGTGGCTAAAGTTTAAAAATCAGTAGCCTCTGTAATAAAATCAAGGATCCCTAAGGCCTAAGGGCTTTATATTTGCTTCGCCTTTCAACTTTTCACATGCTTTTTTCTTGAAATTTTGTTCAGTGGTGTCTCCATGGCATGTTTATCCAAAGAGCTGCTGTCCTATCTATCCAGATATTGGTATTTACACTTACTGGTCCTTTTTGCAGATGATGTGCTACATCTGCTGTTTCATGACATTCCTGCACCTAAGTGAAGCATCTCTATCAGCCCTAAGAAATGGCAGAGGCCTAAAGGGAATTAAATCAACATCCATTCTCGGTGTACTTACTGTTGGTGCTCTGTATTGTGTGCCATTTCAACACCATTACTTAGTAACCATTTTAACTCAAATACTCTAGATAATATCTTTAACACTTTTACCATAATTAATCGTATACAAGTTGGGTCCTGATCTGGCTTTTGTCCCATTTGTCAACTTTTTATTGGCTAATATCCAATCTATTTAGCGTAATCCAAAGGGATAATGTCAATTTGTTTCTTTGGACGCAAATCCTGCTGTTGTTTGGTCGTGTTGCGGGTAGGGCTGCAATGGCATTTGTCAATGAATGTGAACAAACTAGAAATAGCCAAAGGTCTGTTTAGAAAACAGGGAAGGGGAGGGGAGAGGCCAAATGGATCAGAAGCTGACAAATTAAATACCCAAAGAAAAAGGGAAAATGATATTTAATAAAAAGCATAAAATTTTAATAATAGTACAGGGTTGTAGCTGTACGGAAATTATTTTTTCAAAAATTCTCTAGTGGCTTCACATGTATGAAATCCGAATGCAAGTGTATCATTACTTTGATGAAAGTAAAATAGGAGGATTTTCCTAATAACCTTCTACTTTCTCACGGTCGATTTCATTGCAGATAACAGGAAGCATGTCAGATTAAAATTAAAATTTATGCATACGGACGATTTGCAAGAGAGAGGGATACTTTCTTGCAGAATTGGTTACGAAATCTACCTTGGACAACTCCAAAGATTTAAACACTATTGTGAATTAAAGTTAACAAATCCTAATTAAACTAAATAGCATACAATTTAAAGTAAATTTAAAAGAACAAGATGTACCCAAAATAAATTAAATATGTTCATTGTTAAATTAAAATGCTATCTAATGATAGATCTAAAAATTAAATTATTGTAAAATTGGAGATTCTACAATAATTAAAACTAAAACAAACATGAATAAGAATTAAATTAACATGCTTGAAGTTGAGAAGAAATATAAACGTCATATAAGTAATCATTGAAGAAATGCGACTTATCATAAACATTAAATTAATTGCAGATAGAAAAGGATTAGTTTATCTACTGAAATGA